GGCGCTGGCAGGAGCTGGAGGCCGAGGCCGGACGGCTCCTCTCAGCTATTCATAGTCTCCAGAGACCAGCCCCTGCTCCCCCCCGCCCCAGGCAGGGTGGGCAGGAGCCAGGGCTGGCCCCGGGCAGCGCCCAGGGGAGCAAGGGCAGGCAGGACCCGGCTCCCCATCCCATCTGCCCTCCCATGCACATGCAGACACACCCAGGCAGAGGTACACGCCTGCACATGCACACATACCAATGCACACACACATGCACACCACACGCTCTCACCCTCCCCCCACGGCTCAGGGCCGGGCAGAAGGCCGGGGTGCTGCAGCCTGGGAGTTGGTGCCCGATCCAGGCCCCCGGGTGCGGGGCTGCGGGCGGGCGCGAGGGGGTTAACTTGGCGCGCTGCACCCTTGAGCGCCAACGTCAAGGCCCCCGTCCCCGCGATGCAGCCGGAGATAAGAGGAGCCGGGTGAGGGCCGCGGCCCCCAGATAAGGGGCTAATTATAGCCTGGCTGCAGGCGCTGACGTGTGGGGGCAGCGTGGGAGTGCGGGTTGGGGGCACCAAGGGGGGTGCTGCCCCTGCCCGTCACACTCAGGCGCCCAGTGCACACGGGGGAGCAAAGTCCCCGGGAGTGGGGGGGGGAGCCTGAGTGCCCCTGAGCTGCTGCTCTGCTTTCTGCTCCCTGCCGTTCTTCCTGCTCTACCGGCTGCTCTTTTTGCTCCCGTCCTCTGCTCTTTCTGCCCTGTGCTCCCTGCCCGATCTGCTGCTCCGCTTTCCGCTCCCCGCCTGGTATGTCCCTGCCATGTCCCCTCCTCACAACAGGCTGCCGGAGGCACTTGTGCTAAAACCTTGGCCAGAGTTGGCTTGAGCAGCAAACCTGGCCGTGGCATGAGCGAGCTCCTGGCTGGAGGCGGGAGGGGAGACGCTGCGCGCGGCGTGGGACAGCCCAGGACCCGCGCGACAAGGCTGGAGCGGGAACACCCAGGTCAGCACGTGGAACAAGCCCACGGCCCTGCATGCTTGAAGAGTTTCCAGACACAGGAGTAATGTAAGACGCCTGCACCGGACCGTGGTCGTGGCCTGGGGAAGCTGCCCGACGCGGTGCCGCCTGCCTCGTTAGCACTCACCTGATGGAGCTGGGAGGCCGTGTCCTGGCCGGGCTTGCAGACAACAAACCTGCCTGAGTCTTTGTTACTGAGCCGAGCCCGGAGGCGCTCCCTAAGACCAGGGTGGTGCTGGGGTCTCCTGGCTGTGACTCCTGCCGGCCCCCCGGTCCCTGAGGCTTCGGTGCTGACAATGCATCGGTAGCCCCCGACACGAGGCAAACAGTGACAGTGACGCTTATGGGTGCTGGCACTGTCTGTGTGCATGGCAGTGTGTGCTAGTGTGGGCCACCGGTGTGTGTACAGGTGTGTAGGCATGCATGAACACTTGTGCACGTGCACGAGTATATGGTGCATGTGCCAGCATGGTGCACGCATGCATGATGTGTGTGTGTTGGGTTTGCAGGCCTGCTACACACACTTGTGCACGTGCAGGCATGCTGTGTGTGTGCATGTATGGTGCATGTGCCAGCATGGTGCACGCATCCATGATGTGTGTGTGTTGGGTTTGCAGGCCTGCTACACACACTTGTGCACACACGGGCATGCTGTGTATGCATGTATGGTGTGCATGCCAGCATGGTGCATGTATGCATGTTGGATATGCAGGTCTGCTGCACACATGCATGGTGTGTACATGACACTTGTATGCATGTTAGATACGTAGGCATGGTGCATGCACAGCATGTGCATACCTGTGCCCACACCCCCGCACTCTCTCCTTCCTGCCGGGCTCTGGGTGATTCCAGGATACTGCTCCTGCCCCCCCACCCCCGTGACCCCTTCCCATGCTCCCCCACTGCTTCAGGCACCTCCATAGCACCCGGAGCAGCCAGGTAGAGCCCCCCCAGCCAGGCCAGAGACATGCAGCAGGCCTGCATCCCCGACACGCATACACCATGCACGTCAGCTGGGCCTTTGGTATAAAAGGGCAAGAAATTAAATGCATTCTTTGCACCTGGCTTCACTGTGGCGGGTGGTGGGGAGATTCCCCCACCAGACCGCTCCTCTCCAGGGACAAGCCGGGGGGGCTGACCCAGACGGAGGTTGCAGCAGGGTGCTGGGGGGCTACTGATAAACTCATTAGTCTCGAACAGTCGATGACATTCGCCCGTTCAGCTCCTAACTGCAGCATGCAACCCATGCCCGAACACCTGCCTCAGTGCCAGGGGCCTGGTGGATCGGGGCGATCCGGCTGACACGGTGCATTTGGACTTCCAGAAAGCCTTTGCCCAGGTCCCCCATCAGAGATGAATGAAGGGAGGTGGTCGTGAGACTGCAGGGAACGTCCACGCGTGGGCTAGAAACTGGCTCCAGGATAGAAAGCGAAGAGGAAGCATCAACGGTAGGTTTTCAGGAAGGAAAGACGTAAACGGGGGGGTCCCTGGGGGTCTGCGTGGGGACCGGCGCTGCTTAACTTAGCAATGACCTGGACAAGGGGGGGAGTAGCGAGGGGGCCAGATTTGCAGGTGGCACAAAATTATTCCAAGCGGTGAAGACCAAGGTGAACAGCGAGGAGCTACAGCAGGGTCTGGCCCCTGCACACCCACATACTCCCCAGCGTGCACACGCACATGCAGGCGCACACCCACACGTGCACACAGCGCCCTGCCTGCGTTCCCTGGGCCGCTGGCCCCACCTGCCGGCCGGCCCCGTCGCTGCAGCTCCGCACCAATGACCTTGACAAGGCCCAGGACTGCGCCGGGCAGCGCCCAACAGGTCTGCCCTGGGGGGGAAACAGGCCACAAGGACCCAGGGCCGAGGGGGCAGACAGGCCTGGTGCCTTGCAACCCCCGCAGCTCCGCCGGTGCCCCTCACTCCCCTGCTCCCCCCATCCCTGCTGGTGCTCCTCATTCCCAACCTGCAGCCCCCTGCCCCCCTGCCAGTCCTGCCGATGCCCCTCACGACTGACCCGCAGCGCCTGCACACACCCCTGGGCCCCCAGGCATGCCCCTACCCCTGCCCTGCTGCCCCGGCACCCTCCTGCGTGTGCACAGGTGACTCCGTCCAGTCAGACCTCGCTGCCTCCTGCCCGGAGCTCAGGCTCGGTCCAGCTCCGGCCCCAGCCCTGGCACAGCCACTGCCACCTGCACCCAGGAGGCGGCCGGCTCCTGCCCTGGCTGCCCCTCCCTGCCCGGGGGGGGCAGGAGGGATCCAGGGTCCTGTGGGCCCATCTGTCTCTGCTCTCCCCAGCCCAGGCAGGGTGAAGTGCATGCAGTTAAACAGGCGTGTACATGCACTGCACGCGCACACATGCACCCGCAAACATGTGCATGCACCAGCACCCACCAACATGCACTTGCACATCTACAGCACCTGCCCCCTCCCAACGCAGCGCCTCCTGCTGGCCCCCCTGCCCCACCCTTGTGCTGCCCTGGGGTAACAGTGAGGCCTGGCTGCCGGCTGGGCACGAAGGCAGGGCCTGGGCTCAGGCATGCGGGGCAGGGAGCGGAGCCGGGCACCACCCGTGCACACAGGCCTGGCCAGGGGCTCTGGGCTCCTCTCCCAGCCCTCCCTTGCCCTGCGCAGCCCCCGTGCCCACTGCCTGTACCCCTGGCCTGCAGGAGCCCCTCCACACCCATTCCCCCGGCTCCCTGCCCCGCGGAGCCCACACAAAGCCCTTGCCTTGCCCCTTGCAGGCCGTGCCCCTGCCACCTGCCCACCCCACGGCGCTGCCCCCTGCCCAGCTCAAGCAGGTCCCCAGGATCAGGACGCCTTCGCCCCCTCCCACCATTGCTGCACCTTCCCCTGGGCCCGTTCCCCCCCAGAGCCAGGCTGGCACCTCTCAGGGTGGGTTTCCCTTGCCCCCAGCAGCACCCTCCTTGCCTCTCGGGGCAGGGGTGCTCCGTGCAGGCACCCCTGGGGTCTCTGGCCCTGCAGCAGCAGCTTGGAGGGGTGCGGGGAGCCCACCCCCCCTGAGCCCAGATGTGCCGGCTTCAAATGCCCTCAGGATTGGGGGAAAAAGCCCCTGGGGCTACCGGCACCGGGGCAGGGGGGACAGGGCCCCGGGGGCTGAGCTGGGGGGCAGTGAGACGGGAAGCAAAGCAGCTGCATGGCTGAGATGGCTCCAGGCTTCCCGGGACAACCCCACAGGTGCCAGGGACAGCGGGGTCGTCTCTGCCGCAGAGCGGAGACCCCCACCCCGCTCCCCGCAGAGCAGGGGCACCGAGGCCTGCGCCCAGCTGCAGCAAGGAGCCGCTGCCACCCCCAGCCTCTGCAGCCCGGCCCCACGGAGCAGGGGCAGGCTGGGAGCGGGGCCAGGCCGGCGAGGGGGGGCCCTGCAGCCTGCCCGCCTCCCGCAGCACGGCGGGGGGC